TTCAGGTTCGTTCTATATCAATATCAAGGCTAAGTCACCGGTGGGAGCCTCCATTTATTTATTTAGTGTGGGGAAGCTTTACAAGAATACTTCGTTGCGTCTTATTCTGCTGCTGACCATCACCGATTTTCTACACGCACTAACGAGTATGAACTTTTTTTGTGTAACTGTGCACTGCTTCAGACTTCCTTGCAGCTCTTCCATATACTATCTACTTAACATTATCGTGGAGACCTCTTCACATGGATCTTGATCCTTACTTCGTGATGTTCTCCAGTATACCTTTGGTTATACAATTGAAAGTCAATCTAACATTAACTATTGCAATTGCAATCGAACGCAATCTGGTGAGATTGATGACGCAAAATTCCGCTCAAAAACTTTTTGTACTTTTTTGAGGCTCTATTCTCACCATTTCTTTATCGCAAGCTGCCCCCTATTTATTTCGCAACATTTTCGCTATTTCTGGGATTCCTATTCGCTGCTTGGGATCTCATGCTTGAATTTGTTAGCTCACCTATTGTCAGAGTTCCCAACTGCCCTGCGTTAGGATGCTTCTTGCAAGATGATTTCCGTTTTTACTGGGGAACGAGTAGCATGGTGAATGAGCTGTTTTACTAGTTCTAAATAATAAGAGTTATTCAATTTAGTTCATGGGAAGTTGCGTTATTATACTGACAACAACGATTCTTGTAAAACTACGCCGCGTTGAAAAACGGTTAAGGGTTGCAAAAATATTTCTCGGTAAAGAGTCAAGTGGATTTAAGCAGGTAAGAGACAGTCCTATTTGTTTATTGCTTAGCTAACATGTATGTTGTAGGGAAATCGGATATCACTGGGAATTTTGATTATTTCCTTGCTTTTTGTTACGCTGCCAAGTGTGGCCGCTGGTTTCTTCAGAATAGCGGGATTTTCATTTTTTAAGACAGTGGGGCTTTTTTACATAGTTGGGCTATTATGTGCAGGTGAAATGGTCAAATCTATCTGCTTTATGTAAAATAAGATAAATTGTCTCAGGAACGTGCAATAGCTTGGCCTACCTATCGCTGAACAGTGAGATGCGAGAGTT